CCCGCCGCAGCTGTTAGCACGTGAGCGCTTAATACTTTGTGTGAATTAAGTGATGGTTCTTGGCTGAAAGAAAAGAAGAACTTTCCCCACATCTGCCCAGATACAGATGTCTCACATGCTTCGTCCTCCTAAGACTGCCTGACAGCGGCTTAGTCCTCAAATGCTAGCTGATCGACTTCTCAGATTCCCAGACCCCATTGCACCCACTGAGTTTGAACTTGCTTTTCCACAAGATTCCTTAGGGATCGCAGTGCGCAGTAAAAGTTTGAGAAGGATTGTGTTTGTCTACATAGAACCAAAGAAGAGAAGATAAGGCTGGGTCTTGGAGTGTGCCTTTAATCCCAGCATTTGGGAGGTAGTGGCAAGCAGATCATTGTTAGTTCCAGGCCAGCCTGGTCTACATAGGTCAACCAGGGGTAAGTAAGGAAAAATAAAGCCTTCCAAGACTGAGATACAGAAAGACAAGGACGAAGTTTTTCAGTTTTGTTATTTGCAAGACTGAGTTTTCTTTTTCAAAAAAAAAAAAAAATTGCCGCTCGACAATTTTAACCTAGCAGCCCCAAATCTTAAAATAGACATCAGTAGTTAAGGTGTTTCAAAATTGTCTTGTAAGACATCAGGTGCTGACTTTAAAGGTAAAAGAGCAAACTAAGACAAAAGAAAAGTTAACTGCTGATGGCTAAAAGAACCTTTTGTTTATTCACACACGGTTTGCTGCAGTCTAGTTGTCCTATGTAAGGCATACCCTCATTTTCTTTTTGCCAAGAAGGCCTTCCAGTTAGTTTCTTTGGAAGGGAAAGGCTTTTCCAATTTATTCATTTGGCAATTTGATAATAAAGCTGAAGCAAACTGCCAGATTCATGATATCTCATTGCTCAATAATTAGTTTTAGTTTTTAATGTTTTCTTAAAGATTAAAAAAAATCATTTTCTGTGATAGAGAGTTTTGTCTGTATATATGTCTGTGCACCATGTGCATGCCTGGTGCCAGAAGAGGGCATCGGATACTCTAGAACTGGCTTTACAGTTGTAAGTGGCTGTCTGGGTGCTGGGAATTGAACCTGGACTTGGGGAAGATAAGCCTGTGTTCCTAACTGCTGAGCCATCTCTCCAACCCCACCTCAGTGCTCTGCTTAGAGGCATTTGCTTATATGGCAGTAAAAAGTTTCAGGCTCCTGTTTGTACCAGAAATCATTTAATGTGCCTTCAAAAATACCTACTGATGTTTTGGAACGGTCCGAGGAAATTGTATTTATTGAGGCTGTCCAGGTCCGTGCTTCCTGACATTAATGCTTTGGATGAAAACATAACTAGCAAACAAATGAACAAACATATTTGTATTTGAGCCTAATGTGGTATTCAGTATAGAAAGTAAGGGAAGAATTTTGTTTGTTTTAATTTTCATTGTGGTCATTATCTACTATAAATTTGCTCAGATCAGCATTTTAGGTTATTTTAAATTATCCCTCTTTGTGGTGTGTGTGTGTGTGTGTGTGTGTATGTGTGTGTGTGTGTGTGTGTGTGTGTGTGAGAGAGAGAGAGAGAGAGAGAGAGAGAGAGAGAGAGAGAGAGAGAGAGAGAGAGAGAGAGAGAGAGAGAGAGAGAGAGAGAGAGAGAGAGAGAGAGAGAGAGAGAGAGAGAGAGAGAGAGAGAGAGAGAGAGAGAGAGAGAGAGAGAGAGAGAAAGAGAGAGAGATCTCAAGTTGGTGTGTGCATCTGTGCATAAGGATGTATGTGCGTGTCTGTGCACCTTTGTGGATGCCTCAGATCAATATCAGATGTCTTGTCAGTCTTCCTCCGCTTTAGTCTTTGTGACAGGGTCTGTCACTGAAACTCCATGGATCCACCTGTCTCCACCTTCTACAACTAGGATTAACTACATGCACCACTTCACCCAGCTTCTGCATTGGTGTTTGAAATGCAAACTCAGCTTTCATTCTTGTACAGCAGACACTTTATCAACTGAACCATCTCTCCAGCTCTAAAATTATTTTTAGTGTGCCACAAATGAATTAAAATTTTTTTGCATTAGCATACAAAGTAATGGATTTCATGATGGCATTTCCATTGTATGTTGACTCTCATTCAATTTCTTCCTCTGTTTATTTTGAGGTCTGTTAAATCTGGAATAGAGGAAGTTTGGAGTGGATTCTGCAATGATCAATTATAGCTATTTGTCCAGTTTGTGAAGGCAAATATCTCCATCAAACAATTTAAGTTAACTTAAAAGTTAAAAAAACAAACAAACAACAAAATACACTCAGTAAATACGTTAGGCTTAAAGTTCTAATATTTAGAAAGATTTATTTGTGTGTGTGTGGGTATGTGCACATGAGTGCAAGTACTGGTGGAGGACAGAAGAGGGTCAGATACCCTGGAACTGGAGTTACAGGTGGTTGTCAACTACTGAACATGTACGTTTGGAACTGAACTTGGGTCCTCAGCAAGAGCAGTATGTGTTTTTAACCACTCAGTCATCTCCTCATCCCCAAAGTCTAACTTTTAAGCCAGGCAGTGGCAGACACATGTAATCCTATCACCCCAGAAGCAGAAAGGGGATTTCCTCCTTCCTTCTCCTCTCCCTCCTCCCCCCCTTCTTCCTATTTTCCTTTCTGTGTAAGTGTATGTGGCAAGTACTCTTTTATTCCCAGGCTTGTTTCCGTCTTCCTACCTCCAGCATAACTCTTATAAAATCCTCTGTTTTGACAGGCATGTTTGTATACCAATGTCATGGCAGCACTCGGGGCTTTAGCAAGAGGGTTCATACAAGTTGAGCGTAGCTTGGGCTGTTGAGTGAGAATTTCTCTCAAAAATAAAATTAAGATAAAGGAAAAATTGCTTCTGTTAACTCAGCAGTCTAAAGAAACACTGATTATTTAAAAAGATTCAGGCCACATAGTTAGAAAGAGGTGTGTAACCTGATGCCATCAAGATATTAAAATAAAACGAACATTTTGACATTTGACATTTTTTTTACATAAAACCTGTAATTTGGAGGGCAAATCTGAGCTCCAGCCTGCTTTTCTTGCCTCATTTAAAAGTTGTAGTTGCCGAGCTTTGGTGTCGCTTGCCTTTAATCCCAGCACTGGGGAGGCAGAGGCAGGTGGATCTCTGTGAGTTGGAGGCCAGCCTGGTCTCCAGAGCAAGTGCCAGGATAGGCTCCAAAGCTACACAGAGAAACCCTGTCTCAAAAGTCCAAAAAGAAAAAAAAAAAAAAAGTTGTAGTTGCCATGCAGTTGAGCACAGTTCTGCTTGATGCAGTTGAGTTTCTGTCACTGCCTGATATTTCTGACTTTTCCGAGATAGGCCTTAGTTTGAACCTTTCTCAGTAGGGTTTGAGGATTAGAAGTTTCAAGACATTTTGTCTTCAGGTCATTCCAAAGGATCAGGAAGATTATGTATGACATTTAAGGGATAATCTCATTGAGTAATTATCCAAAGAATGGCAGATAAAAACAGAACTCTGTAGTCTCAAGGAAACCGTAGGTTCTGTGAAAAAGCCACTGAATGTAGTGTTTGTTTGTTTTTTGTTGTTGTTGTTGTTGGTGGTATGTGTGTGTTAACATGCATTTATTTACTGTATGTAGGTTTATGTGTGTATTGGCATATGATGTCACACTGTGCTGAGGGTGGAAGTCAGAGGACAAGATATGGAGTAGGTTCTTTGTTCCACTGTTTGGGTTCCAGAGAGGGAACTTAGTTTCCAAATTTGGTAACACGTTCCTGTACCAACTGATCTGTGGTTTTTCTGTTTTTGTTTTTGACGCAGTATCTCATGTAGCAAAGACTGACCTCAAACTTGCTATGTATCTGAGGATGGCTTTGAACTGCTCCCTCTTGCTTCTCAACTCTCAAGTTCAGGGATGGCAGGCATGTACCACCATGCATGGCTGATTGCTTAGTTCTTCCTTCAGGTTGGATGAGACTTGTGCCATTGACTGTAAAATCCTGTGGGTAAGCTGTTCTTCATAAGCAGGGGTATTTGATGCTGATGGAAGACCCAAGTGACCACAAATCCTAAACTTGGTAGTCTTATCCATGTGCTCAGTCCAGTGTCTTCTTTTCTCCTGACTTTTAGAGTGGCAAAAAATAACCATAATATTTTGGTTCTAAGGAAATTACTTGATAAAGGTTATGTTGTTATAAAGTCTTTTTCTTGAGTATCTGCTTGGAGATTAAAATTATTAATGTATTTTTTCTTCTCAACATGGTATGAGTTAAAGACCATTACTGGTTTTTAATTGTATTGCTAAGTAGTTACTCTAACACTATTTATTGAATAATTTTGTTGTTTTCTTTTTTATCATGTACCTTTTATTATGTGGATGGCATAGACAAAGTTCTTTGTATACGTTGTCATTTCATTATACTGTACAATGTTTTGTATCTTGTGTTGTCAACTTCATTTTACAGCTGTGGACATTGATACAGAGTATAAGGAGTTTCCCTGAAGCTTTTAAAAAAGGATTTAATTAGTGTGCATGTATGTGTGTGTCTGTGTGAGTGTATGGCACTTGTGTGTGGGTGATTTCTGAGGCCAGGAGAGACCCTGTATGCTCTGGAGCTGAGATTCCTTGCTGTTGTGAACTCCTGGTGTGGGTGCTGGGAATTTAGGTCCCTCTTGAAGAGCAGGGCCGTCTGCTGGGCTGTCTCTGCAGTGTCCTAAAGCACAGTGTGTTAGTGACCAAACCTTGCCTGGTGTGACTAGGAGACCTCTTGAATGCATAAAGAACCTGGAAGGTGTATTTTTTGCAGTACAGAGCATAGGATCCAGGTCAGTGTTTTAGTGTCGGGAAGTACCCTTGTGAGTCAGGATTGTGCTGTAGTGAGGCTGACTGACTCTTTGCCTCATCCGCCAGAGGCCTGGGGTTACAGGCATGTGCTTTGGGCTAGGAAACTTATCTCCCTTTCCTTTGCTTTTCTGTACATGTCTGTGTGTGCTGAGTCCCGGTCTACTTTGTTACCCCTTTCTACCAAATAACTTCATAGTCTTTTCTGGACTTTAAGACTGTCTCCGTTAATACATGTAACATCTGTATGTTCTTCAGAATAAGGAGTATAATACAACGTCTGATTAGTTGGAGCTATTGATTTTTAAGTGTCTGCATTTACAAAAATTATTTCTTATATTTGTTTCTTTGGCTTTTGCATGTCCTATGAATTACGTTTTCTCAAAGGCTCTATTTCTTAAGGCAGAGACTTACTTGTAACCTATTCCTTGAACTCATGAACTCAGGATCCTCCTGCCTTACTGAAGCCTGTGTGTTGAGATTATAGGTGTGACCTACCAAACCCTGACATGCCAGTTACTTAAGACTGCTGAGAAACAGGAAATACTAATAAATAAGGTTTCCCAACATTTCTGTGCTTAGTCACCAGATGACTTGGAACAACTATTTAACTTCTCTGTGACTGCTTCACTATCTGTGAAATGAATCACCTCATATTTTGTCCCCTCTTCTCATTGTTTTTCTATTAGGTATTAGGAGATGGCACAGAGATGGGTCCAGTTTCATTGTAGTCCTCCAGACTGATTGGTTGAGGCATAGATAAGGCATACAACACGGGCTTTTGGCTTCTTGCAGAGAAGTCCCTTTTCTTTTTCTTTTTTTTTCTTCCCTGACCTTGGGATTGAACTAGGGAACTAAGTGAGGTGTGCTAGGCAGTGCTCTACCATTGAGCTGTACTCCCAGTTCCTTGAATACAATTTTCATTTTGACAAAGGGTCTTAGTAAGTCACCCAGGTGGTCCTGAACTCCACATCTTCTTGTCTCAGTCGCTGAGGTAGCTTGGATCACAGGTGTGCCACAGTGTCTGGCGAGGGCCTCCTTGGGTGCTCTCCTTTTCCTTAGGAGATTTTGTCCTTTGTAGATAGTTTGCTGTGTGTCTCTCCCCAGCCCCTCCGCATAGATGAGCAATAAAAATGCAAGCTGTCAGCTCACTCACTACTTTTCCTTGAGGCACTTGTTTTAGGCCTACAAGTGTTTTCAGAGAGGGAAAGTCTTGGCAGTGTTACAGTTTGAAAAGGAGAGCAAAGGTTACAAACTTGTACATAAAGACCTTGTTTATTGAAGCTGTAGTGCTAAAATATGTAATTGCTAAAATGGGATTTATTGGAATATTGAGGATGACATATGTTCTTTTGCATATATAAATAACTTGATTTCTTCTTCAGCTTATGTTCACTTTATTTTTCACATGCTCTGGAATAACCGGTTCTTATTTTTGTGTGTGTGATTTAGATTCATCTGCTTCCTTCTAAAGATATTACATATAATGAAGTTACTTTAAAGGCACCATAGCTGGGCATAGTTGGCGCATGCTTATAACTCTAGCTTGTGAGAAGTAGAGGCAGGAGGATCAGGATACAAGGACAGCCTCAGCAACATAGGTAGTCTGAGGCCAGTCTGCACTGAGTGAGACCCTGTCTCAGTAAGTAAACTGATGAACAGATGGGATCCTAGTCTACCTTGACAGACTAGAACTGATTTTGTCAACCTTTCTTTTTCTTTTCTTTTACAGAATTTGAGAAGATTTTATTCATGTGCATGTCATAGAAGATGAATTCCTCCTCTTCTACTATGAATGAAGAGCCTGATGCTCTGTCAGTAGTTAACCAGCTACGGGATTTAGCAGCAGATCCATTAAATAGAAGAGCTATCGTCCAGGATCAGGGATGTCTGCCTGGCCTTATTTTATTTATGGACCATCCCAACCCCCCTGTTGTTCACTCAGCTTTACTTGTAAGTTGCTTTTAATATTTTCAGTGTTGGTGTTTTAATTTTGCAATTAAGAATTTTCGAAGACCTTTGATAACATGGTAATAGACTAAAGGCATTGTTAGATCATGTAGTCTGTATTTTGCCATGTAAAAAGTATGGAAACTATGGTATATGTGTAGTTCTTTAACACAAATAGCCATATGTTGATTTGGTTCTTTAATGTAAATGGTAACTATATAACACATATATAAAATGTTCTGGTACATGGCATTTTCAGTTAACATGATGATTTACTATTTTCATTTTCTTTTTGACATGGAATATTGCTGTGTTGACCAGGCTGTTCTTCCAGCTCTTGGATTCAGGTCATCTTTTGACTGCAGGCATACACCACCACACCCAGATCATTACTGTCTTTTCTCTTTCTCCTCCCCCACCCCAATACACACCATTTGTGTGTATAGCTGAGACAACCTAGGGCTTTATGCATGTTAGGCAAGCCTTCTATTACTGATCTGTGTTCCCTAGCCCATCAGTTACGAGAACTCTTGGGTTCAGAATGGTACTTTTTAGTACAAGGGATTGGAATCAGGGTGTCATGAATGTTAAGTACATCCTGTACTGAACTACATCTACCTCCCCCCCACCTCTCTCTCTCTCTCTCTCTCTCTCTCTCTCTCTCTCTTGTGTGTGTGTGTGTGTGTGTGTGTGTGTGTGTGTGTGTAATTTCATCACAGCTCTTTTTGTTGGGGATGGAGATAGATGGAGACAGGATCTTGTATCCCAGGCTAACCTTACCCTGACCCAGCCTCCCAAGTACTGGGATAATAGATGTACACAACCCCATCTGGTACAGAACAGCTTTCAAAGATGTAACTCATATGCCATCATAAAGTTCATGCATTTAAAGTGGACACTTGAGTGGCTTTTATTCACAGAGTTATACAGCCATCCCCTGTAGTCAGTTTTAGAACTTTTTAATTTTGTTATATTGTTTTGAGATACAGTCGTCTTATATATTCAAGACCTACCTGGAATTTGAGATCCTGTTGATTTAGCCTCTCATATGTTTGGATTATAGGAGAGATTACCACATCTTGCTTTAGAACCTTTTTATCACTCCAGAGAGAGTATGTACTGATTAACTCTTACTTCCTAGTGCCATCCTCATTGTGTAGGCAGCACTGGATTACATATTGGTGACTTTTGTGACTTTTCTGTCATTTGTATTATGTTGGAACAGATGAACCTCAACAAGTGTCAGTGCTTCATTTCTTTTATGTCTGGATAGTATTCCAGTGTAAGCACATACACCATGGTTTATCCATTCACTAGCTGATGGACATGACACTTACTCTAATATATGGTAAGGAGGACAGATAAGGAAAGAAAGTATACAGGCTCAAAGCTAACAATTCAAAAGGAATTATGAGAAATGTGGAGGCTAAAGAAACATGCTAAAGAGCAGCAAGACCATCAGACATTCAGAATGGAGGAATTTCTGAGCAACAGGTAAAATCTGGTCCCTTCAGTAATACTGTTTTTGGTTTTTTGAGACAGGGTTTTTCTGTGTAGCTTTGGAGCCTATCCTGGCACTTGCTCTGGAGACCAGGCTGGCCTTGAACTTACAGAGATCTGCCTGCCTCTGCCTCCCGAGTGCTGGGATTAAAGGCGTGTGCCACCAATGCTTAGTACTTAATATATTACAAAAAAAAAAAAAAAGGCAGCTGGAGTGGAGGACAACAGTGATGGAAGTAGCTATTACATATTTTAAGGGATGTATCAGTCAAATGTTATTTGTAGACCTGACTTATAACCTGATTTAAACAAATTCATCATAAGCAATTTTTGAGTGGCTGGAAGTGCATGTACAGTATACAGTAGATGATACTAAAAAGTTGCTATGAAGGCTGGTGAGATGACAGCAGTTGACTGCTCTTGCAAGGTACCTTAGTTTGTGGTACACAGGCACACATATAAGCAAAATACCTATGTCCGTAAAATAAAACAGTTTTAAAAATTTTAAGTCATTATGGCCAATAAGATGGCTTCGTGGCCAGTAAAAGTGCTTGCCACCAAGCTTGATAGCCTGCATTGGTGCCTGGAACTCACATGTTGGGAGGGGACAGCCAACTTCTGGAAGTTGTCTTGTTGTGACTTCCAGGCATTGTGTTGTGGTGCAGAGTTATGCACACAAAATAATGTAAGAATTAAATTAAAAATGTAATGTCATTAAGTGTGGCTGCACACACTAATCCTGACACCTGAAAGACAGAGGCAGATAGATCTCTGAGTTTGGGACCAACATGGTCTACATAGTGAGTTCCAGGCCAGTTATCACTATATAGTGAGACTCTGTCAAAGCAAAAGCAAAACAAAGAATTCCCTGCTGTTGAAATGTTATTAGCTAGACAATGAAATGTGTTAAGACTTGAAGAAAAGTACTTTTTTTAAAAAGGTCATTTGTGTAGAATTTTATAATAGTATTAAGATAATTTAATACTAACTTCTTCCTGGGCATGGTGTCACATACCTTTAATCCCAGCACTTGGGAGGTAGAGGCAAGTGGATCTCTGAGTTCAAGGCCACCATAGTGTACATAGTGAATTCCAAATTGGCCAGGTATACACAGTGATATCCTGTCTCAAAACCCAAAACAACAAATTAACAAAACACCAATTAATTTCTTAGATATAGTGAAATATCTGCAAATGAGAATTTACGATCTCTAATGTTCAGTTACAACTATGGACCAGAGAGGGATAAAACCAGATTGTCAAGTGATGACTGGTGCTTATTGAAGCTGAATGATGGGTACATGGAGGTCACCACACATTTTCTTTATGTGTGTGCCTCAGTATTTCTATTACAGTTAAAAGAGATGGGCTAGAGGCAGTGGATGAGGAGTTAAAGGTCAGCCTGTGTCACATGAAATGTTGCCTTATCACACAACAGGCAGGAACAACAGACAGGAGGAAGGATTACTTTTGACTCTTGTTTCAGAGGGATTCAGTTCATGAGTTCATGGTGGAGAGAATGTGTGGCAGGCTCCTTACATCACAGTGAATGTGAAATGACTGAATGGCAGCCAGGGATGGGTATTACCTTCAAAAGCTCTCCTGTCCCCGGCAGTGATCTAGCCAGACCTTCCTTAGGATCCAGTCTTCAAAATAGTGTTACAAACTGGATCAGCTCTTCACAACACAGCCTTTGGTGGGGGACATTCCAGATGCAAACGACATCAGTATTTGTTGTTTTATTTTGCTGTTTTGCAACTATGTAGTCTGTCCTGTCTTGTCTCCTTCAGTTTGGGATTACAGGCATGGCACCCTCACATCTGACTGGAGTAGGTAATTTTTCGGGGAGGATTTCCTAAGTATACGAACTAGGAAAGGCTGTTTACTGTGGGGGAGGGTAAAATTGCTCAGCAGTGCTGAGCACTGCTTAGTGCAGTAATATTGGATTGATATGATCTAATACTAGATTATTAAACTACTTTTCTTCCTACTTCAGGCCTGCTATAGGCTCTGAGGGCCTAATAGCTGCATTTGTCCAGGGTTGATACTTGGCCAGGTAAGTTGGACAGAATGACTGCAAGGACATTAGAAAAGGATCATGGCAGGGGTGGTGAAAATGGTGAGATTGTATGTGCCAGCCTGAGTAAGGGAGCTGAAATAGAAGGCTAGAGCTAATGGAAAACTAGAGGTTGAGGTTCTAGGAAGGATGACAAGCAGACATGCATTTTACTTTATTTTTATTTTCTTTTCAACAAACCCATGTGGAGTATATTAGTAGAAAAGAAAAGGGGGAGGGTGTTAGATGTTGGCCAACTGGGAACAGAGTGTGTGTGTGGAGGGTGAGGGCTTGAGCTTAAAAGGGGAAGCCTGCGAATGTACACTGAGTCCTTAGGAAGCTCTATAACGAGTGACGTAGTGATGATGTGGCCATGCCACTGTGTGTGCCCTGCCCATCGTCAGGGGTGTGGGGTCAGCATAATACTGGAGTTTTAAAAAGCTCTCATTATTATTAAAAAGGTGGAGTAAAGGTCAGCCTGTGTCACATGAAATGTTGCCTTATCACACAACAGGCAGGAACAACAGACAGGAGGAAGGATTACTTTTGACTCTTGTTTCAGAGGGATTCAGTTCATGAGTTCATGGTGGAGAGAATGTGTGGCAGGCTCCTTACATCACAGTGAATGTGAAATGACTGAATGGCAGCCAGGGATGAGTATTACCTTCAAAAGCTCTCCTGTCCCCGGCAGTGATCTAGCCAGACCTTCCTTAGGATCCAGTCTTCAAAATAGTGTTACAAACTGGATCAGCTCTTCACAACACAGCCTTTGGTGGGGGACATTCCAGATGCAAACGACATCAGTATTTGTTGTTTTATTTTGCTGTTTTGCAACTATGTAGTCTGTCCTGTCTTGTCTCCTTCAGTTTGGGATTACAGGCATGGCACCCTCACATCTGACTGGAGTAGGTAATTTTTCGGGGAGGATTTCCTAAGTATACGAACTAGGAAAGGCTGTTTACTGTGGGGGAGGGTAAAATTGCTCAGCAGTGCTGAGCACTGCTTAGTGCAGTAATATTGGATTGATATGATCTAATACTAGATTATTAAACTACTTTTCTTCCTACTTCAGGCCTGCTATAGGCTCTGAGGGCCTAATAGCTGCATTTGTCCAGGGTTGATACTTGGCCAGGTAAGTTGGACAGAATGACTGCAAGGACATTAGAAAAGGATCATGGCAGGGTGGGAGAAAATGGTGAGATTGTATGTGCCAGCCTGAGTAAGGGAGCTGAAATAGAAGGCTAGAGCTAATGGAAAACTAGAGGTTGAGGTTCTAGGAAGGATGACAAGCAGACATGCATTTTACTTTATTTTTATTTTCTTTTCAACAAACCCATGTGGAGTATATTAGTAGAAAAGAAAAGGGGGAGGGTGTTAGATGTTGGCCAACTGGGAACAGAGTGTGTGTGTGGAGGGTGAGGGCTTGAGCTTAAAAGGGGAAGCCTGCG